AAGTGCATCCTTGTCTCAAGAGCTTTGACTGCACTGTCTAAGCTGACCACTTTTGACCTTGAGTGCAACCCCAGAAAACCATTCCAAGAGAGGGTGAGTGGACTGCCAAGAAAGGGGCTCCTACTTCCTCACAGTGAACCCACACTCAAGTACGGATACTTTTTGACAATATGGAAGAACTGCACTGATATATAAATCCCTAAGACCCTTTCAGAAAATCTTTACAATGAATGGTTGGCTTTAATTACTAACTTTTAATGTTTTTTAGTTTTTAAAATGCATTCCGTCTCTGTGTGTGTGTGTGTGTGTGTGTGTGTGTGTGTGTGTGTGTGTGTGTGTGTGTGTGTGTACACGTGTGTGTCATGTGTGTCTGTAGAAGTCAGGATGTGGTTCTCCTTTCCACCTCGCCATGGGTTCTGGAGAGTGAACTGTCAGGACTGTGTGACAGGAATGTGTCTGCTGAGCCACTGAGAGCCCTTGATGATTATTTCAGCACTGAAAACATTACTAGTTTAGAGCATCTGTTGGGAACAGCTGTTTGGGAATTACCCTTTCTCTATGCACTACAGATCCTTTCTCTAAGAACATCTACAGACAAAATGGAGACTGGGGAGCAGTATGAAAACTGAGTATGAAAAGAACAGTGAATTGAGTGTTAGCGTTCAAACACCCTCAGCTGAGTTCTGCCCATCGAATGTACAGTATCTTATAAGAGCTTGCGGTTCTGGAAACTGGCCTATTTTCACATGAATAGAAAAGGATTTTAAAATCAAGGAAAGTTAAATTTTGAAAGCTCAAGACCTAATGAATTTCAAATGAAAATAAAATGTGAAAAAGCCAGTATAGGATGTAAATTAGCAACAAATCTTCTCAACACATTTCAGTACTAAAGCTCAGGAATGAAAAAAAAAAACAAACACGGAGCCATTTGTCTATCATGTAAACTAATAATCAGTAGTCATATGAGATTTACTTCCTGTTCTCTTAAGAAAATCAAGTATGAAGGCTGGAGAGGCGGCTCAGTGGTTAGTGTGTTTGCTGTGCTACCTGAGGATGGAAATCTGGATGCCGCATCTACGTGATGAGCTGGCATCTGAAAACGTCTGCGACTCTAGTTCCAAGGGATCTGACACCATTCTGAACACACATACCTGTATACTCAAGTAGAGTGCACGTGTACACACAAATCAACTTAAAAAAAAAAGAGGCATGCTTGAACAGATTAGGCTTACTGAAAAGGTTTGCTACTAAACCAAACTGTCAGTTCAGGAAAAGGACAATTTTTAAGCTGGAAACGAAACTGAATCATAATTACTTATGTGGCTAGTTTCATCTGTCAAGTCTACCAAGTATTTATGCCATATCTTTCTCATTCTAGAATAGATGTTCTTCACAGAACAAAGTAAGGATGAGCCACATGAGGACTTACCAACACTAAATCATATAGCTGCTGAAATATATGGTCTCAACAGAATCATTTTAAATTCTTTGCCAACTACATTTTTTTTTAGAAGCAGGCCCTGATCTATAACCCAAGGTAGCCTCTAACTCATGATCCTCCTGTGTCCACCTCCAGACTGCTGAGATTATATGTATTATCACTACAACCGACTTCCTTTGGTTTTTAATTCTTAGACACATGCATCTCATTCGCTTACACTATATGAGAAGCAGAGGAAGGGGGAGGAGATGAAATGTAGCAAACCACAGGTCTGTGCTGTGGGATGTCTTTCTGTATGCTGTGAATATGTGCTGCTATGATTGGTTAATAAAGAAGCTGCTCTGGCCTATGGTGAGTCAGGGTATAGACAGGCAGGAAATACAAGCAGACAGACAGGAAGAAAAAAGGAGAAGGGAAGAAATGCCAGCCTGCCACCCAAGGAACAACATGTTAGCAGACTGGTAAGCCACTGAACATGTGGCAAAACATGGATTAATAGAAATGGGTTAATTTAAGATATAAGAGCTAGCTAGCAAGAGGTCTGCCATAGACCATACAGTTCGTAACTAATATAAGCTTCTATGTGTTTACTTGGGTCTGAGCGGCTGCGGGACTGTGGGTGAGAGAGATCTGTCTGGACTGTGGGGAGCCGGGCAGGACTGGAGAAACCTTCAGATTACAGGTTTGTATTCAAGCCATATTAAATCCACAAGGGAGGGACAGAGTCCATTTTGGCTCAGTAAATGTTGGTGTCAGCTGAGGCACTGAAAGAAAACTGCAGGCTATAGAGCTGAGTCATGCAAATATTCTACACAAGTATATTATTACATTCAAACACAAGTAAAACAGCACTGCTGAACAACGGGGAAAGGCAGAAAGGGCAGTGCAACCAGTGCAATAAGCAAGTGTCTTCCAGCAGGATGTGATGGCGCACACCTTTAATATCAAGCAGCAGCAGATAGATCTCTGTGGGTTCCAGGCCAGCCAGAGACACATGGTGAGACCTGTCTCAACAAAACAAAGGATCTACTCAAGTGCTTACTTTGCAATGTTCAAAAGTACACAATGGGATACAGATAAGATTAGAGGTGAACTAAATAGAAGCTGAGATGGAGATCAGATCTGCAAGAGGGGGAAGAGCTCATGTAAGCACATGTTCAACTACAAGTCAACAGAAGTATCTCAAGTCAACTGATTTGATAGTTCAGTTTCAGAAAATTAAGTAGACAGACATACAGGCCCAGCCTAGAGCTGAGGTTATTAAATACTGTATGTCAAACCTGACATATAGTATAAAAAAGCAGACAGACATCTTTATATGACTACATATTTAAGAGAAAAAGCAGACAATTAAACGAGGCCCAGGAGTTTAGGGGGTGGCCAAGGGAGTCCAGGAAGACTCTCCAAGAGCAGAAGTAATTAGCACCTTAACCACAAAATTAAGATGAAGTCTGAGAAGCACACAAAAGAAAGCTATGGGACATGGCCAAGTAGGTGACGAGAGCCATCACACACTGAGTGACAGATGGCAACAACAGGGTTTCTTCTCCTCAAGTACATGGTGACAGTGAAAGGTTAGGCTCCAAGACACAGTAACATGTATAAGGAAAGGGAATCTGGGGTCATTCAAGACCAACCAGAACACACAGTGAAGATAATGGTCCTGGTATTTTCTACAAGTTAACATCTTCACATCAGAGCTTGCCTTGTCTGCTTCCGTTCCCAAGGCTTGGAGAGAAGGGGCAGTCTCCAACAGAAAACCTTCCAGATCCTACTCAATAACTTCCCTTCTTTTTCTCTGTATGCACAGAGGTTCGTGAATATATACACGACTCTGTGCACACACAAGTACATATGTGCATACACAGTTTCAACTTATGTACCAAGTTTCCTCTATGAAACAATGTAGAACAATGATCCCTGAACTAGAAATCACAGCATAATGATTCATTTGTCGTTTTTCTCATTGCTAATTAAAAAATCAACTTTTCCAAGAAGATAACAAATTATGGCATTTAATATAGAAAAGTAATTCAGTGAGAAGGCAATCATAGAATCCATAAATTTTTGAATTCGAGAGTTTAGTGGGTATAATTGGAGCAAGCTAGATAGACCCATTAGACTGTGGATATATTATAAATGAGTTCTTAGAGGACAAAGTCAGATTTCCATCTCTATGTGCTTGGTTCTCAATTTTGAAGGAGGTGGAGCAAGGATGTCACTGGACTTCAAAGGAAATAGACTGAAATCTAAGCATAGAAGATTGAAATAAACTGATTGAAAGCTCAGCATAGAAAAGCCCCATTAGAACCAAAGACCACCAATTCTCAGTCCAATGAGCCTATACAACAAAAGGCTTATTTGTGCTCTGTATGAGCACAAGGACAACAGTTTTAAAAGCTCCTTTATTCTTTCTTTTCCCAAATTACATTTCTAAATATGGGCACAGCTAAGCTACGATCTAAAAAAAAGTAGTGGCTATTAACTACACTCCATTTTAGGTTACTATGCCTTCAATAGGGTATGACTATATCTCTATTCCACCGTAGGAGTCTTAGGACAATGTTATTAGTCAAGTTTTCTCTGTGAACTAAGACTGATGTTCTCTATGACAGAAGGAAGTTTACGAAACAGCCTTTGAGTCTGCCTTTTAGTCACTAATAATGTAAAAACTTTAAAGGTGACATTGAAATATCCAAAACAAATAACACACTTGTAATTACTCTCAGAAATTTCTCTCTGTAATTCCACTATAGATAACTACTTAAAAGGTAGAGAGCAGATGGGCAGCAGGATGAGAAACAATCGCTTATCATCTAATACATTTCTACAGAGTCAAACCAACTTGTTTTGATGCACCTTGGATATGCATCATCTACAGCATTTCCTGTATCTTTATTTACATACAAATTTAAAAGGATAGCTTATTTGGGGCCTTTTAAATCTCAGACAGTCAACAAAACATTATTCATATTTTGGTGAAAAAAATCTACAATTTTATTATTTTTGGAACTTATTAATACTGTAAGATATTTTATATAAAGATCTAAGTTCTTATCAAATGTTAAAATACAAAACTGTCATGCACTAACCTTAATTTTCACAGTGAAACAATTCAATTCATTTAGGCAAACAGTAATACTGATAACTGATTGAATCCACTCCTCAGAATTCACACACACCAACTGTCTACTACATCAGGCTTGGACCAATGTCTTCAGTTAATATATAAAGCTTCACTACAAGGCATTGTTTCAGTCATTAAAACCATTACTAATATAGCTAAAACATATCATTTACTCATGGCCCATTTCTAAGTTCATGTTACACTCTATGGAAAACCTGAGGACAAAGGGCTAATTTAATATGAAAAGCATTTCAAGTAATAAGGCAAACACATCTTTACCTAATTTTTTTCAGCTTAGAATCTTACACATGCACTTTAAAAATTACTTTGCGTTTCATAAAACAAACAAACAAACAAACAAAAAAAAAAAAAACACGACAGATTCAAAAGAGCAACAGCTGGGAACGACAAACACACAGTGGCGTAACTCACCTAAATAGGGAATGCAAGGTGTCATCTTTAAGCTACTTATATAGTCTCTGAGTCTTTTGTAGTTATCTTCTTTACTCATTACATATTCTAATTTTTCAAAGGTAGTTTTGTCTTTTCGACTTAATAACTAAAAAACAAACAGAAAAGCCTAAGTTATTTACAAGTGCCATCTTACTTTAGCAAAGAACTGAATGGGAGATGTATTTACCACAAATCTGGACTTTAATTTCAAAGTGATACTTTCCTTAATTTCATTATGGTAGGAAATAAATAAAACAAAACCAGACACATGCATTAATAACTCAAAGTATTTATAAAACCACCTTTATATGCACATAAATGAACCTACTAAGTGGTAAACTATAACACAATCTTTACTACTTTATGTAATTAAGCCATTTTTATTGTTTTTTTCTAACTTAAAATAATGACATGTATACATTCAGCTCAAATGCCCAAGACTGCCTCCTCAAAAATCATTCCTTCATAATCTCTAAGAAACACTCAATTTTAAGTGATGTAAGTAACAACTTTTCTGACAAGCCCAGTTGTGGCTGGTCTTAACAATAGCTGGGAAGACTCCCACCGCCCGTAGTTTTTACTTCTGATAACAAATTTTCTTCTTGAACAGCGCTTTATCATACAGACCATTACCAAAAGACTGTTTCAAGTGGCTTGAAGAGACAGTTTTAGTACATGCCCTTTGAGATTACTACAAATAATCAAGGATGGTAAAGACAATAAGGTTAGTACCCACCATACTAAGTGAAAGCTCCTGGATGTGCTGTTCTGTTAGCATTCCAAAGACTGTGGATTAAAACCTCTGAGGTTACGATTTCCTCACAACACAGCAAGACTTGACTTTATTACATGTTAAAATACTGGCTCTTTGTACAGCATGCAAACATTTCACTTACAAAATTGTCATCTAATTCTGCTCTAAGGTAAACAAGAAAGCTTGTGTATTTTATTAGAGATGACAGAGAATGAGAGTCAGTCACAGGGTTAGCAAGTAGAAGAATGTACTAACACTCTCAGCCACCCACTTACACAGCTGTGTGCTTCTGTTTCTCAGGGTCTCAAAGACTGGTTCTGATAACAGAACATTCTGACACCTAATCCACTAGTCTTTCCTGGCCTGTAGGCAAGTCTGTGGTACATTTTCTTGATTAATGGTTGATGTGGGTGGACCCAGCTCACGGTGGGTGCGGTGAGTGTGGTGGGTGCGGTGGGATGCGGTGGGATGCAGCAGGCAGTCCTCAGTTGTTATGAAAATAAACCGGGCAAGACTATGGTAAGCAGTGTTCCTCCACGGCCTTGCTTCAGTGCCTGCCTCCACCAGGTTCCCGCCTCGGCTTCCTGCCCTGACTTCTCTGCTGTAAGATGAAATAAACTCTTTCCTCCCCAAGTTACTTCTGGTCATGGTGTTTTATCACAATAACAGAAACCCTAAGTAAGATACCAATTTATAATACTTTCCCTGTCCTATGTCAGGGATCCAAGGCAAAGATCTATTTCTGAGTTCTATTCAGTTTGATATATATCACAGTTTGATATATTCACACACATACATATATATCTGCTATTACATTGCCAAAATTATACAATAATCTTATGTGAAGGCAAAGGCTGGTGTCTTCAAACCCCACTTTCTCCTACAGGCATATTCTGCCTTCTTTTTTTGTTTGTTTGTTTGTTTGTTTGTTTTTTTGGGGTTTTTTTTTTTTGAGACAAGGTTTGGTTTCTCTGTAGTTTTGGTGCCTGTCTTGGACTAGCTCTGTAGACCAGGCTGGCCTCAAAACTCACAGAGATCCACCTGCCTCTACCTCCTGAGTGCTAGGATTACAGGCGTGAGCCACCACCACCCAGCTAATATTCTGCCTTCTTAAACCTAGCATTTTCTTAAAAATTTTATAGCTGATCTTTACCCCCATAGTATTGGCACATAAATAAATGCTAAGATAAAATTGTCTGTATTTAAGGTATACACACACACACAAACACACACACACACACACACACACACACTATATGATCCTAAGCTAACAACATTTTAGATGGGTTTTCTCAGCAAATTCCAAGTATAAAATTATTACCTGTAGTTACTATGCTTGTACCTTAGATCTCAAAATTTATTCTATAAAACTAGACTTTGTATCTACCCATTGAACTACAGATATCTTCCAGTTACCCTCACCTTGAAAAATGCTCATTCTATTCTCTACATCTACAAATTCAACTTTGGATGCTACACATCTGATTCAACATTTCTGTCTCTGGCTTCGAGTCTTCAGGTTCATCTATGTGGGTGCGAACGGTCTACACCCCGGGGATGGTGAGTGACTGCTAACATGGGAAGCACAGGTAGCTCCTGAACCTTCTCATGTCAGTTCCTTTGGAAATGGACTCATATGACCTGCTGGACCACACCAGAGCTTTCAACTCCTATTCTATCTCTATCATGACTGCACCATTTCATTCCCACCACTGGTAAGCAAATTCCTTTTCATGTCTATACCCTCACCAACATTTTTGACTTCTTATCTTTTTGGTAGCAACCAGTCTAGCAGGATTTGCACTACCCTGATCATTAGGGGGGGTTAAATATCCCCCACATACCTATTGGCTATTTGCGTGCATTCTTTTGAAAAATGTCTGTACAGGTATTTTGATCATGTTTAAGCGAATTACTTTCTTGCTACTGCACTGAATGAATGTCTTGTGTATTTGGGCATTCGCCTCTTCACGGATGGAGTCTGCAGATACTTTCTCATCCACAGACCGTCCCTCACTCTGCCGACTGTCTTCTATGAGTTCTGCTTTGACAGACTGCTTTCATTTGTCTATTTTCATTTTTGTTGCCTACACTTTGGGAGTCACATTCAAACGTAACTGTGCAGACCTGTCAAGACGCTTTCCTCCTATGTCCAAACGTGCATCTCTACCCTCGTCTTCTACGCTGCAACCAGAACTGCCTCACTAAGCTCTGCTCACAGGTTTCTGAACAGGTTTACAATGCACCTCCAATTTCCCAAACTCCTCCACAAACTAATTCCACAGGCTTTCCGAACCACATCAGCAGGTACAGTTACAGCAACAATCTTGATTCTTGGGACCACCCTTAGGTACAGTTTTCTATCACTGTGACAAAGACCTGGGATAAATCTACTTACAAGGAAGAAAAGACTTAACTGTGGTCCTGTTGCTTTGGTCTGTGATGAGGTAGAACATCTTGCAGAGCACATGTGGCAAGGCCAGGCTGCTTACCTCATGGAAGTCTAGAGATACATGTGACCATGAGAGACTACCGCAGGGATGTAACTTCCTGCCACTAGAAGGTGTCACTACTTCCTAAAAGACCTCTACCACAGGATCCTTCAGGAGACACTGAAAATCTAAAACACTTTAGGTTAAGTCTGAAATGTCCCATTCATGGGCTAATTCGTTTGAACATCTGGTCTCCAGCAACTGGTACTACTTGGGGAGGTTGTGGAACCTTTGGGACATATGTCTTGGCCAGAAATAAGTTGCTGGGAGCAAGTCTTAAAGGTTAGACCTGCTTTTGGTATTGACTTAGGCTCCAAAGGAGTTCCAGCTGTCTACTACTGCAGTCAGGGAACTGTTCTGTATGGTGGACACACCCCATCTGTGATTGTGAGCCAAATTCTCTCTTAAGCTATTTCAAAATCAGATGTTGTCACAGCAACAGGAAAAGGTAACTTATTACATGTAACAACTCTATACTACTATCCAATAACCCCTCATTTTCATCTCTCTCAGTTTCTGGCTACCACTGTTCTACCATCTCTATGAGTCTGACCACTCCAGGAAGCTCAAATAAATGGATCCTATTTGTCCTTTTATGCCTCTTCACTTCACACAGTGCATCTGTAAGGCTCGTCTGTGGTATAACATGTTGCAGAGTATCCCATGTGGGGCTGAATAATAATGCACTCTTATGTGTATAGTACATCACACTTATCCGCCATTCATCTCTGTACAGACACCTGGGTTGTTTCTACTTTTTGGCTCCGATAAACATTTATGCAAAAATATGTTTATAACTCAGCTTTCAATTCTTTTGGGCATATGTCCAGAGGAGGAACTTATTGCACTGCATGGCAATTCTGCTTAATTCTTAGAGGCATTTTCATTGTTTTTAATAACTTCTTTCTTTTTAAATAATTTAAAGCTTCCCTTATAGACAAGCAAATTAATCTAAATTATCCTCCCCCCATTTCTTTTTTTTTAAAGATTTATTTATTTATTATGTACACAGAAGAGGGCACCAGACCTCATTACAGATGGTTGTGAGCCACCATGTGGGTGCTGGGAATTGAACTCAGGACCTCTGGAAGAGTAGTCAATGTTCTTAACCTCTGAGCCATCTCTCCAGCTCCCCACCCCATTTCTTATAGAAAAAAAATATCCTTTTCTGATTTGGTTATGGCAGCTAAGTGCCCTGTGTTGAACAGTAACGTGAAAGTGGCATCCTTTTCTTTCATATTGAGAGAATGTTCCTAATGTTTTACCTATTATAGGATAGTAAATGCTTTGTAACATGTCCCTTTTATCAATTAAAAACCTCAAAACAAACAAAACCCCTCAAGACTGTAGTCACTAAAACATAATACAAATGGGTATGAAACATCTGTGATCTTACACTACCCCGTAAGTTCAGATGCAATAGCCTACTCTTCCCATCTATACCCAGTGTGACTCAGGGTCGTTCACAAAACTTCCATCCTTAGCTTTCCCCATCGACCTCAGCAAATATCTTTTCCTTTCTTATTATAAACCTTTCAATTTAAGCCTGGGAGGGGCTTAGATATAATTCTTGTTCTTCAAGCTTCACAATCTCTCCAAGCTTATCACTCCATTTTCCTCCTCCAAGTCCTCAGTATATATGATGTTCTAACACTGATTCACTGTCCAGCAGACTTTGTGTGATGATGGGGGTCTATGTCTGTGCTGTCCAAACAATGGCTGCTAGCCAACATTCCTGAGCACTTGCAATGTGGTTAGTATGGCTGAGGAACTGGAGTTAGATTTAAATTTTTTTTTTTTTTTTTTTTTTTGAGACAGGGTTTCTCTGCGTAGCTTTGCGCCTTTCCTGGAACTCACTTGGCAGCCCAGGCTGGCCTTGAACTCACAGAGATCCGCCTGGCTCTGCCTCCCAAGTGCTGGGATTAAAAGCGTGCGCCACCACCGCCCGGCTTAGATTTAAAATTAATAGCTACCCACGGCTACTATATTAGACAAGAGAACACTGAGTAACAGTGTCACTGTGTGAGACAAGAGAACACTGAGTAACAGTGTCACTGTGTGAGACAGAGAACACTCTAGGTTACTGTCATTTATGGTCGACCAGTAACTTCCCCCTATATCTTTGCGATTTTAGAAGCAGGAAAAAAGAGCCCATGAACCATCACTTACTTTATCATCACTTACTTTATCATGGGTCTCACTGCTTACGTTCTCCATGTGTGGCAACACTCGCCAGTCTCTTCTCCTCACTTCTTTCCCAGTTATCCATCCCACTTCCGCCATCTTCTCCCACTGCTCTCATCTTAAAATAGCATGGCCTAGTGGACTTTCATGGTCCCTGTCATGTGTTCCTTCCTTTTCACCACCCACCTTTTCTCACCTTTGTTTGCTTGGCTTAGCTTCCTCATTGTACAATGAGACAACTCCTACATTCTCTCTTTCACCTCTCATGCTACTTACTCTAGATCACTCTAGTCCAAACATGAGTAAAAAACCTCATTTGGTTAAATATAATTCTCGACAGTATACCACACTTATACTGAGCCTGGGCCTGAAAGTATGTAATTGATGGTTGCTTTCACTTTAAATTTATGAGCAAAAATCTTTCTAAAGCTCAGCGACCTTTCATGCCTCCCAAGACATGGTGCTTTCATACTCTCCTGGATGACATGTCTGTCTTTCTTTCTTCAAACTTCCAAAAGCTTTCAAAATTCTCAACCAAAGACTTTGTTTCTAATGAATCAAAACAGTGAACTAATTCCTTTCTGTCTAACTAAAGATATACCTGAAGTAGTTATTCTTTTTCTCACCAGCTCCCCGAGTCTATTACATCATTTTTACCAGCACAAACCTTCCTGGTCACAGACCCCATCTCTAAAATCAAAAGCATTGTGCCACAAACTTTCAGTCTCCTATTCCTCTCCTGACAGTAGCCAGGTCCTCAACCTTCTACAGCAGACTTTCTCACAGGCACAGTCTACACTTACTGGCCTCGTCCTCCCTCTGCCACCACTCTCAATTCCAATCAGTTTTTCAGCCCACCACGACACCAACAAGACCCCTGCCAACATCACCACTACACCAACAAGACCC